TTTAAGGACATTCGGTAGACTGATTCCCCACTGTTGGTTCAACCCCAAAACTTGTTTGTATTCAAAATTAATTATGACAATGCATATTTATATTGAAACAAACTATGATAAAGGGAATTATATTATATAACAAAGGGCAAGGTCACCAGAGTTCAACTATGTTTTTTTTTCAGTGTTTTATAGCAATAAATTTTATAAAGTCTTTTTTTAATATTGATTTTATACAACTGTAAACAAATTAGAATAGCATAATTATATATTTTTTATATCCTAAAAAAAAAATATTTGATTACAGTTCGGGCGTGAAGAATGCAGCGGGTATATCAAGGAAAGATGAGCTGTATGCACCAGTGAAGGGTACCTCCCATGCTGCACGAGACCCTATGGAAAATAAATGAACATTGAACATGGAAACTTGAATAAAACTTGAACATCTTTGAAACTTGTCTTTTTTCACATTCTATTCAGTTGGCCTCAGTTGAACCAGATATCAACAATTGTCCTCAATGGCTGTTTTTAAATTCTGAGATCAACAACATCCATTGAGTATGATACTTGATATCTTGGTGGTGTCAGTAATTTGAAACTAACTAATATCAGTTGACCATGTGAGCAATTTTGACCAATATAAAGATTTATAATCTCAAAATATAAATTGTTCTAGCTAGTTACCTGAAACGCACCTTTTTTTTTTGTGGCTTAAATGGACTGCTGAAAATTGTTCCAAAATAGTCGTACGACATGAAACCATCACAATTTGAGTCCTGTGTATGCAAAGTGTGCTGTAGTATGCATGACTGAGATAATCATTTACCTTCAGATTGTTATGACACTATTCAGAAAAAACAATGCAATATTTTTTTTGTTTTCTCAGGAATTGCATCTGATGGATTAAAAGGACGTGTATTCGAGGTGTCATTAGCAGATTTACAGAATGATGAGGTTGCATTCAGAAAATTTCGATTGATGGTTGAGGAGGTACAAGGAAAGAACTGTTTAACAAATTTTCATGGAATGAATCTTACTAGAGATAAGCTCTGCTCAATGGTCAAGAAATGGCAGGTTAGTAAATTTAATTCTTTTGCTCCAAGAAGAATTCTTTCGAATTGTGGTTTGATGCTTGATTGACATTGTCCTGTAGTTGTACCATACCATACCATACCATACCATGTTATTATTGAATTAAGTCAGGCAATATTATGGTTTCCTTTGAGTTTAACATTGTCATTTCTATTGTATGCTTTGTTTTATGACAGTCGATGAATAAGACAATTTTTAGCTCTTAATCAACTTTTCAGAGGATTTGTTGCACATGTGAACTTGTATTAGTTTGCTTGCCATTCAGGTATCTTTGATTGTATCACCATTTTAATGTTAAAAATCAAATATCTTGGTTTATGCATGGAGGGATTTCATACAAACTTAGTAAAATACATACACCATACATTATGGCACATGTTTTTCAAATTTCATTCAAAATGGTGAACTTAGACTACCGTAAAATTCCTAATTGAGGCCGCGGCTTTAATTGAAATTAATTTTTTCAATGGGCAACTTCAGGGTTTGAAATCTTGGTGCAGCTTTAATTAGAGCATTCACAAAGGCCTGTGAAGGGATAATAAGATGCACTACACTTGATTGCAACTTTGTTGCAATTCTAAGCACACTTTTGGATTTTCACACACTGATAAACTCGTACACAAATGAAAATTCACACTGTACAACATACTGCACATTAAATAATATCTAAAATAGATTTGTACGCTTTGCTGATTACGGTACCGTATATTGCTCTAATTCGCTAGTACCAGTACCTTCCATGCTCTAATTAAAATCGGGAAAATTAGTCACAAAAAAAACTGTTCACATGATAACAAAAAAAGACTATTTAATGTAATGTGCATTTTTTTTTTAATTTTGTTAATAACGAAAAGTATATTCTAAAAGAAGTTTCAAGTACTTGTTCCTTAATATGCTAGTCTGAGATAAATTTAAAAAAATTATCACTGGACAAAAAAAAAAAACTCCTTTACTAATGATGAGTATCTATACTTCACAAATTCAACAAAATACAACCTATCACACATGTTCAGTACAAAACACCATATTTTATGCAAGAAATACTAAAAAATAAGTATACACTAGATCAAGAGTTCATACTTTGATTAAAAGTTTAGGTCTTGCTTGGCTTTCATTTCACGAGTTGTATTCTTTCACATGACGTATTGGCAAGAATGGTGACGATGTGTTGATCAAGTAAATAGTTGGTATCAAATAACTGACTTGTTACTCATTAACTCCAATAGTGCTGACAACTCTGACGCAGTTAGCAGCACCCAAACGAAAGTTCGGCAATCAAGTGTAAATCCCGCCATTCAACATCAGATTCTTTTACAAACTCAGATAAAGTCTGTTATACACCAACTTGACCATATTCAATGGACATCACGAAAATTCTTCTCTGCCACTCAACCAATAACCAAAATCCACATACCCTTTTAGTCACCAGTACTATCACTCCTTTTCTACCCTTTTACGCCCTCTATTGGCGACAGTTGTTTTTACTTTTGTGTGTGTGTATATATATAATCTTAACCAAAAAATATTAAATACATAATTCACACTCATAACTAATGAGTTAATTGTAAATTTTTGATTTTTATTTGTTGTTACTGATATTGTTTTCTTGGCAGACATTGATTGAAGCCAACATTGATGTTAAGACGTCAGATGGTTATCTATTGAGGTTATTCTGTATTGGATTCACAAAGAGGAGACAAAACCAAATTAAGAAAACCACTTATGCCTACCACACACAAGTCAAGTCAATCAGGAGGAAAATGGTTGAGATTATGGTACGAGAGTGTCAAAATGTGGAACTGAAAGAAATTGTCAACAAATTGTAAGTTTTACCCATCTACTTGATGGTTAAACTGCTGGGATCAGACTATTCCATGTGTTTAGAAATTTATGCTTTCAGTATTGTGTGGCCATTGTTTCTTTCTTGGTTGTGAAATGTTCATTGTTGTATTTTCCCCTTTCCCTACTCGTTTCTAGAATTCCAGGTGATGTAAATTCCAGAATACAATTGGTATGGCTTTGTATATTAGGTTTGTTCAAATAGTCTGAAAACAGGGACTTACAATTCGGTCTTCGTCCGTTCGAAGTTATATTTCAGAATCCTTTGGCCCAATTTCGTTCATTCTTTGCATGTGCCCTAGTACTTTACTTGAGTGGTTTAGGAATTCGATTGAAAATGGCAGACTGGCAGCCATCTTGTTTTTTGAAAATGGCATATTTTGGACATGCTTTGTCAGTTTTCATTCAAACTTTAGATGTAGATTATACATGTTAGAATACATATCCATGAAAAATTTTTCAAAATCAGATCAAGGATGGCAGATTAAAAGCCATCTGACTTTTTGGCTTTACAGTTAAAATCCTAATATAAACCACATTTTATATTACAATGTATCAATTTTAAAATTGGGATCAAAAGCTCAAGTTGGAGGGTGTGGTTTATATTTTATTTGCTAACAATATACATGCACAAAACAAAACAATCCCTTGAATATAGGCGTCACATTTAACGGAAAGTAAATTCTAACAAAAGTTTCAAATAAAAACATTGCATTGCTTAGTAGCAAATGATCACGGTATGTTAGCACAATCCGACCTTGCTGCGGCTCACAATAACTCACAATGAATAACTTACTTGTTTTAGAAGTGTTGAAGTTGATTATTACTCAACAGTGAATATAACGCACAAAAAATAAATTCGTTGAATTGTTATGAAATGCAAGTAAAATTCAACTTAGTTTCACCCTAAGCGAATGATTTCGGTCACATGTAAACGCTCGATGTGATACGATATCTGCCATGTTTGAATGCACCCGAGACTATTAATTGACCGGATAGGTCAAGTTGCTAATTAACCAATCAAAATGCTGGATGGTGCCAACGTGTTCTAATTACCATAGCTCATTTAAATATGTTAATGAAAGTTCAGCGACTTCATGGTAAACTTAACACGGAAGAGATTTATCGATAATGTAATGTGATCTTTTGACTTTGATTTCCATAGGGAAAACAACATAATTTTTTCGAAAGATAAACTGAGCATTGAAGAATTTAACACTTTTACAGTGATAACAGCTCATTGTTGAAAACTTCCGAAACACAGGAGTATTAACGAAGGTTGCCACCAGAACAAAAACACTCGCACTGCATGTCTGACATATTATCACCGCTGAACAAATAAATAGCTGTGAATATTTTTAGGCACGTTGTCGAAACATAATCAACAGGATTAGGAATAATGCAGTTTTGGATCAGCTGGTTGAAACAATGGTCAGTCACGGTCTTGTTGAATTGGGGGTGTGGTTAGTAATAGGTACTTTTTATGTTTTCAATTTTTGTTAAGAATTTTTTAACCCTTAAGCCGGAATTAGAGGTGGGGTTACTATTACGTATGTGGTTTATATTAGGATTTTAACGGTACTACTATATTTCCAAGATTTTTGTACCATTTGTATTTGGCACATACATCATACATGTCACTTTGTTTCATAATCAGATCAAAGATGGCTGAGTTCTTTTAATTTTATGATGTAGATGGGCAAGTGTAATTCAAATACATCACCATTGTTTGAAACCCCCTGCCATGTGAATTTAAATTACAGGCATGACAAACGTTAAATTGTATTAAACGCATTATTAGTCCCCGTTCGAACGAAGTCCGAAAAATGGGGACTTATAATTCGGTCTATGTTCGTCTGTGCGTCCGTCCGTCCGGAGTCATATCTCAGAATCCCTTGTACCGATTCCGTTCATTCTTTGCATGTCCCTAGTACTTTATGTGGGACATGTGCACATGCAGTGGTTTAGTGATTCAATTCGAAATGGCAGACTGGCAGCCATCTTGTTTTTTGAAAATGTTGTATTTCGGACATGCTTTGTCAGTTTTTATTCAAACTTGGTACATAGATTATACATGTTAGGATACATGTCCATGACGATTTATTTCACAATTGGATCAAAGATGGTCGACTGGCAGGCATTTTGGTTTTTTTTATGCGGTATCTTGGACGTTCTCTGTCAGTTTTCATTCAAATTTGGCACATTACATGTACTTTATACATGTTAGGATGCATGTCCATGACAATTTGTTTCAAAATCTGGTCAAGGATGGCCAATTGACAGCCATCTGACTTTTTGGCCTTACTGCTATATTTCCACAATTTATCTACCATTTTCATTCATATTTGGCACATACATCATACATATCAGTGTGCTTCATAATCAGATCAAAGATGGCCGAATAACGGCTGTTTTTATTTTTGGCCATATTACTACTACAAGGAACACGCGTTTTGATCTAAAAAAACAATCTGTTGTATATGCCACAACTTCTCGCGACAACTTCTTTGCTTTAATCAAAGCACAAAGAGAACTTTTAAAAATTTAACGGCGACTATGTTATTTTCAATGACTTGTTTTGAACTGATATTTATTAAAACTGCAAGTTTGAGGACACTGCCTTCACCATATTATTAAACACAAGAAGGCGCTTGACTGTACAAAAAGTCTATTAGCCACTTTAGTCCAGAACTAATACAATTACAAAGAGTTGCAATTGCTGTATTTCCTATCCCAGAATCTCAAATTTGGTCATTACACAAATGTTAACATTGTAAGCCCCATGTAAAGATTTATTGTACCATGGCAACAAGCATTCTTATTCATG